ATAAGATACAGCAAAGCCGACTTCAAGGAGTGCAGAGTGAAGACTGACTCCGCCCCAGTGGCGCAAGCACCGGATGCCACGCACCAAGAGCGCAGCACTCGCAGCGACTGTGCGTAGGATAAGGGCGCAAAATCACCTGTCGCCTCGTCGAACCGAAACCAGACACAGTCAGGATCAATGCTGTCGCCATGCATATCGCGCAGTCGATGCCAGACTTCACCAAGCGCAACTAGCCAAGCTGAAACCCAAGTGAACTCCAAAATATCCGCAGTACCATGGAAACCCATAACCCCCGCTGCCAGCGGCATGCCCCTGCGCGTGGTTTTGGTCTTGAAGGCCTCTGCCCTAATGCAATCGGAACACACTTCGAAGGATGACCACCGAATGCGCTGGGAATCCGACCACCTCAAGGAGGCGTGTGCACACAAGAGCAAAGCACCCGCGTGACACCTGTCCTGCAAAGACATCTGAGCCTCCAAGAGCATCACCTCGCAATATGACATCAATCTGATAGGAACCGGGTATGATTCTCTATGTGGTTGAACTCGAGGGGCCAGCAACATGGCCACGAGCCCATTGTAAAGATCAGGAAGGGGCAAATTGAGCATCCGACGGAACCATCGAAGGGCTTTGATGGTGTTGACGGGCTGAAAGTCGGCTGCCGAGTGCCCCCGGTGGGTCGCCCAAAGCATATCAACCAATTGCGCCTGATTAAGCTGATCAATTGCTGGCAAATCAAGCTCAAACCCTGCCCTAAAAACCGCTAAGACTGCCGTCATGTACCGTAAGAGTGTGGAAGGCGCCAAAGTGTTGAAGAACTTTTCAGTAAGCAAAAGCTCATTTGTGGAGCTCGACATCTGAAGGAGCACATCAGAGTGATCCAAGAGAATCGGCTTGAGTTCCAACCATAAAGCCTGAGCCAACTGAAGCTTCTTGGCATCATGCTGCACTGCAAACTCCACAGTCCCACTGCCCTTAGTAGGCCTAAAATTTGTCCCTGCATGAAAACTGCCACTGCTCGTTGCCTCACGTCCTGCTGGGTGCTCAAGAAATGAGTGCTGCTGAGGCGGGCGAAGGGCACGCTTGCATGTCGGCCTGACAAATGCACTAGCCTGAGGTTGGGGATCTGCTGCAACCGAGCGCTCGTGATGGAACAAGGACCTGGATGCCGGTGATGCATGCATCGCGGGACGGGGAGCAGGACTAAACCCAAGACCTTCCGAACTAACATGGTGCAACATTGTCGGCCGCATACACGGACGAAGGGATGCAAGACTAGTACTAAGATTGTGCGTGTGGCCTAAGTTAAGATATAGATGTTAGTAACCCCCTTATAACCCCCCTGTAACCCCCTTACATCTTTGCCATCCATGTAGTAAGTCCCTACTAACTTGGGGGAAGTTAGTAGAAGGTTGGTTGGAAGAAATAGAAGTTACTAACTTAAGTTAACTTTTTAGCTAACTTTTTCTAACTTATGATAACTTATGTTAACTTATTCTAACTTTTTTTGTTTTATGTCGGCTTTGTGTTGAATGGTTTTCGTTGTTTGTCACTGATGCTGTTCTTTTCTGTGCTCCACAAAGATAAGAGCAGATGCTATGGGCTTAGGGGGTTCAGGTGTTTAGGACCCCCACCACCACAAACACCAGCACCAGCATCAGCACCACCACCAGGGTTATAGGGTTTAGGGGGTATAGGGTACGGTGTGGAGTGTAGAAAAACTATCACCACAGCCTTCACCAACACCAACACCACCGCCGCCGCCACCACCACAACAACAACAGCAGCAACAACAGCAACCACCACGACAACAACAGCACCAGCACCACCAGCACCAGCACCACCACTAACAGCAACAACAACAGCATGTCTAGGATGTTAGGAACACCACTAGCGCATGTTTAAAGTTCAGGGGTTTAGGGGCTTGGGTTTGGGGTGTACGGCTTGGGAAACCTCACCGCCAGCACCAGCACCAGCCCCAGCGCTAGCGGAAGTGCCAGCACCAGCACCAGCACCCACCAGCACTAGCACCAGCACCTAGCACCAGCACCACCACCACAGCAGCACCACCAGCACCACCAGCACCAGCAGCACCAGCACCACCGACACCACCATCAGCAACCCCCACCGCCCGCGCCACCACCGCCAGCACCACCCCCGAGTTCATAAAGCCAGGAACCAGGCCGGATAAGTTCAGAAAAAGTTCATATTTCCAGGCCTGAAAATTCATAAAAAGTTCATATTTCGAGGCCTGAAAAGTTCATAAAAAGTTCATATTTCGAGGCCCGAAAAGTTCATAAAAAGTTCATATTTTTAGTGTTTTATTGGTATTTACAATGAATCCAAGCCTGAAAAGTTCATATTTCGAGGCCTGAAAATTCATAAAAAGTTCATATTTCGAGGCATGAAAAATTCATAAAAAGTTCATATTTCGAGGCTTGAAAAGTTCATAAAAAGTTCATATTTCCAGGCCTGAAAAGTTCATAAAAAGTTCATATTTCCAGGCCTGAAAAGTTCATAAAAAGTTCATACTTCCAGGCCTCAGGAGCTGGCTGGCACTCCACCCCCTGATTCACCACCACCACCACCACCACCGCCACCACCACCGCCACCACACCACCCCACCACCTCACCACCCACCACCCACCCACACCACCCCACCACCCCGCCACCCCGCCACCCCACCACCCCCCCACCACCGCACCCCACCCCCCCCCTGACACCCACCCCCACCCACCCCACACTTTACCACCGCACCCCAACCCACCACACCCTACCGCCCCACCACCCCACCACCTATTAGATGGTGGATGGTGGGTGGTGGGTGGTGGGGTGATGGGTGGTGGGGTGGTGGGTGGTGGGGTGGTGGGTGGTGCGGGGTGGTGGGTGGGTGGTGCGTGGTGGGTGGCGTGGGTGGCGTGGGTGGCGTGGGTGGTGGCTGGTGCAGCACCTAAAATTTCTATAAGGATCCCCCAATCAGCTGCTTTTCTGGGAATGGATTTGTGAACCGCATTATTTTGGTGTGGGTGGTGGGTGGTGGTTGGTGGGTGGTTGGTGGTGGCTGGCGATGGCCACCGCCTCACCACCCGCTACCACCACCCACGACCCCGCCACCCCATCGTTGTATCTTTTAATCCACAAGTTCACTTTTGCTAACTTATGTTAACTTTCTTTAACTTATGCTAACTTTTTATCTAACTTGCCTAACCCCCTAGTAACATCTATATCTTAACTTAAGCCAAACGCACAATCTTAGTAGGACGTACACCCTGGGCCGGCACAGGAAGCTTTGTGCGCTTCAAGGGTTGCATAATTACGGGACGGGGTGCAGGCTTATCCGAAACCCATAAACCCTTACTTGAGAAAATGCGCTCTGGTGCCATTACTTCATCAGACAAAACCCACTCGAAGGAATCCAAATCAAATGAAGACACACTTGGTGCCACAGCCGGCACGAGGGCAGCCTGATCGCCTGCATTTGAATCTACCACGGAAACAGCCTCAACAGCAGAAGCATCACGCTTGAGAAGACGAGCAGCACGCCGGGCCCAAGGCGTGGTAGCCGTAGCACTTTCCTGTGTTTCAGGAACAAACGGCAATGGAGCCGCCACCTGTGAAGTCGCATCTGGCACCGCAAGAACATTTGCAGCTGGAGCTGCATGTTGCCTAGCCTGCAACGCCTTTTCAAGCAAAACAAGTGCCATGAAATCACAAGTTGTCTCGAAGCTGGCTAAAGATCGAACGCAGATGTTGTATGAACTGCTCCAACCAACTGAGGCGTCTTTCTGAAACTTCGCGCGAGGACTCAAGTGACTGGATCCTTTCCTCAAGATATGCTTGCGTATCGGTCAAGATCTGATTCTGTTCCCGCAAATAATTCAACTGAATCTGCAAGTCAAACACGTGGCGAGAGATCTCTGATACTGTGCTAACCGACGAACTCGGAGGATCACTGGCCGGGCTTGCTGCACCGGACGAGGGCTCCGCCATGCGAGACCCCCCTTTGAGGATGCCGACTCGCTACTTAAGCAAGTTCAATGGAAAGTGAATGTAAATGCAATGTCTCACATAAAATGACCAAGACTCATGAGTCGTTGAGAAACCAAGAAGCACACAGACATGCATGATGCCTTTCTTGACCCTTCTCTGCTCGAGCAGCTTTGCGGCTAGATGAGCAACAAAGATGAAACATCATGCGTTAGAATACAAATGTAAAACAGTTTTGAGCAAGCACAAAAAGCAGCATTGCAGCGGAACAGCGTGTTCAAGTAAGAGGCCGGCATGGCCTACCGACAGCTGCAAGAGGCCAGCGAAAACGTCGCAGAATTTCGGTGTGTACAAGGAATCTGGCGCAAGCGAGCCCGCAACATGGGGCATTTGGCGACAGCGGCACACTGGTATGGGCATGCCTGCTAGCGCGGGCTGTGTTGTACACATGCGCATCTTTACCGGGCTGGGAGCCCCGTAGCAGCCGGCACAAAATTCGAGGCAGTGCACCGCATCGGGCAAGTCCAGCTGGCCCCAGAGGGCCGACGCCAGGGGATGCAAGATACTCCAATGCAAGTCAGACGCGAGCAAGAGCTTGGCGAGGCGAAGGGTTTGCACTGCGTCGAAAGAGGCCTTAAAACAATCCTTAGTCGCCGGGAAGAAGTGCACATGAAAAGGGGCATCTTGGCCAATGACAGTCTGTGCAAATGAGAAACCCGAGTCAGTTTCGATGTCCACCGGGACCAGGTGGATGTGCACCCTCGCAGCAGGGCGCGAGTGTTCAAGCGCCATGACTTGGAATCCATCTCGCCGCACACGAGCAGCAAGCAAACCGGAACCACACTTTATTTCAACATAGAGAGCAGAACCAGGCTTTAAAGGACTTCCAGGGCCGCCATTAGGTTCCTTAGGGCTAACGGTGGGCGCAACCGAAGCGGGCAAAGGCCTAAGCGACACCTGAGCTGCATTAGAGGGTGAGGAAGGCCGCTGACGACCACACACCTGGGCAGGCGCTAGGCGCGCGCTCTCAGGCGCGCGCGCGTCGGAACATCAACATTGCACCTCCGGAGAAAATCAAGATGTTCCTTGCCCAGCGATTCAACATGACGGATTGTGTATGCTATCAGCACGACCCTCCGGCCTTGCCAAGCCTCAGTGTAGTGCCAATAATGTCTTGCATTGAATCGCACGGGGCCCGCTGCAACAGCCAGGCGAGAACCCTGGGCACCGTTGAGGGACGAAACATCCCGGCCATCTTCGTGCTCCACAAAGATGGCGCCACCTGAAAATTCTGTCAGGGCAATCGCCAGGTTATGCAAATTTGCATTCCACTGATCGCGGTGGCGCTCAGTGCGAACTTCCTCGAATATATTTATTGAAGAAAATTTGAACCCCGGAACGCTCTGCCTCACAAACCTTGCAAAGACGTCGAGCGCTTCTGGGCTGGTTGAAGCATTAGCCTTCAAGCCAACATTGCCCCCAAGAACATACGCTCCTGTGGCATAAGACTTTGAAGTTGGGAGAGGAGCAGTGGCACCCCTTTTCAAATCATCTGAAGGAAGACCATCGAAGACTCGAAGGACATCAGCAGCACTCACATGACCCTCGTCAAGTGAAGAACTCGCTTTGCCGCTCTGTGGCCCCGCCCCATCACGGTGCTTTGGGGACCTGCTGCGTGCGGCCTCCACCACACTCGGCGAGGGCCTAGCGATGGCACTGTACGAGCCAACGTTGTGATCGTGATGATCCTCTCGATCAACACTCGGAGTTGGGCGACAATCCACACCTTTCGTTGGACAGCCACCCGTGCATGCATCTTTCGGCCGATGAACTCCCGCTAGGAGATCATCCACCTGCGAGGCCTCCGCTGCCGGCTGACGCACACTCTCTGGAGCACCGGCCATCAGCGAGGCACCCTCGAGACCAGATAGTCACGAGCCCCCTTGCGCCCGCTTTGGGCACTGCGCTGCACCATGGTTATGAGCACCGCACTTAGGCACTGCACAGATGTGCAAGCCTTTCTCGCACTTCTGCCCCTTCGTCGAGCAGCCACCCAGGTTGAAGGCAAAGCATATTGGGCCCCCTCGATTAGTGTGGGACCTGCAACCTTCCAAGCCAGCGGGCAACCTTGTCATGAACCTCTGCTTACCTTTCTTTCCTTTGCCCCCACCTTTGGTGTAAGGAGAAGGCCTCTCCCACTTGGGAGCATCCGGCTTCTGGGGAGCGTCCTTCATGGAAGGGGCTGGAAAAGGCTGCAGTAGGCATGACACCTCGTTCATGTACATCGCATCGGGCAGGAGAGAGTCCAACGGGCGACCCGATGCGACAGTCTGCACACCTGCCCTGGTCTTGTCACGTAGCTCGGCAAACAGCTGCCGGTCCGCCGACTCAAGCTGCTTCCAAGTGGGCCTGGCAAAATGCTCCGCAGGCGATTGCATGCGAGCCTTCATCAAGCGTTGAGTCCTCTGATCAGCAACACTGAACTCGATCAGGTTCGCCTGATCCATGGCCAAAGCTCTCCTGGTGAGAGCCTGCTGAACAAGAATCTCCGATGAGGTATCCGCAACCAGATCAGGCTGTTTATGCTCGATCCGAAGCTTTCCCGAAGACTCCTCAACAGTGAACCTGACATCACGTTTCTTCTCGCCAGCCAATTCAGCTTCCTTGGACACACACCGGTCCCACGGAATGTACCTCAGCTCATTTGCCTCATAGGAAGCCACAGCAAGATCAACAAGTGCATCGGCAGGCTCCAGAGGCCCTTTAAGTGATATCCCGACAAGCTTCTTGGCCTGCCGCTCGTACCGCTCCGACCTCTCAGGCTGAGACAAAGGCCTGACGGTCGACTCTGGGTCGGCCTTCTCAATCCTCTGCTTCATTTCCGCGGTCACCATGGCAAAAGCTTCATTGTAAACCGCACGCCAATTAGCCTTGTCTGCAATTGTCAGGTCTCGCTTCAAAATGTCTTTCAACACCTGCATCAACGGCCCCTCGTCAGTCTGACCAGGTGTGAAAGAAGAAATGAATGCCAGCCTCCTCAAGTTTCCCACCTCTGGCAGGATTTTCTGAACGTCATCTTCCGCGAAACCCACGACACTCAATCGCGACTGCAGAACCGATTGACTCTCAAAGTAGTTCGCCATCGTCAGGAGCAGGAACCGGGCTAGTGATACTCCTACAAATCCAGCTGAAAGTTCTCAGAACACTCCCGAATCCGCACCTCGTGGCCTGGGCTCTGACTTACCAGGTTCAAGCACAGACTTCCTAAGACTGAGCCGACTCCTCATGAACGCGATGCTTGCTTCTGACTGATGCATGTCACTCGAAAACTACAAATCGCACACACTCCTGGAAGCACTCAGCCTAAGCGCGTAACGCTCAGAAACTCAGAAGCTCCTTTTCACTGCACTCCTCAGCATCACTTCTTAGGTGGGCAACAGCTTCTACACAGCGGAAACAAAATTCGAGGGACGGAGGACAACCTTTCATACCTGGTCGAGATGTTTCTCCCACATCTGAACTTGTCGCCTTCTTCGGATGCGACAGCATGAATGAAACGGCTGTCCCTGTTCCTGAACAAAGGGACTGCTTCAAGCTCGGCACGCAAGCCTGCATCGGGCTCCCATTGCCTTCCCAACTCGTCGGTGGCCGCCTCCGCAGCTACATGATCGACATCCTCGGCATCCTCGCTGGCCTCGGAAGAAGATTCCGACAAAACCTCGTCAGGAGGAATGGGCATCCCCTCTGGATCTTCAAAGCGCTTCACGAAGTAACCGGACCTGGTGGCGTCCGGCATGAACCTTTCGCGCGACACTTCGAGCAGAACCCCTTGCAGCTGGCGCACAGGAGCAGACATGTTGTCTCTCCCATAGATGAGCTCGGTCCCATCACGGCCCCTGGCGTGGTAGCCTAGGGCCGCTCTCACCTCGCGGGGTAGTCCGAATTTGGCGCTCCAACTCAAGGTCGTTGCCTTGAGACTATGCGTCCCAAGCGGTTCAACGGAAGACCTGTCACAACCCGCACGGATCAAGAGTGACTTCATCCATTTCGTGGCACTCGCCACCGCCAGCGGCGATGTTTGCCACCCTCCGCCAGAGAGCGGGCTCGGAAGCAAGGGCTTACCCGACCCCAAAGGAGGCCCATGCTCCTTATAGAACTCAAACCACTTGACACCCCAGGGCACCTCACCTATTCCTTGGATGGGAGCAAACATGTGCAAATACCTGACCTTTCTTTCCAGTGAGAACGAAGTCTTGCTTCGCTCAACAGCGGACTCCAGGTATCCGACTGTGCCGTCCGGCGTATCGCTTAAGTCGCAAGTCATTGCACCCGCAGCTTGGGCATCCGAGTACCTCGCTCGTGCATACAAGGTCCACACGAAGAAGCCAGCAGCGACCCGGTCTGAAGGCTCGAGCACGATTGAGCCGGAAGCGATGGCCTCCAACTTACGCACATGATCAACTTTGAGCGACGGCTTTTGCCGAGTCTTCCTCTTTTCAAGATACAGCTTCGACGACAGCCCACGGACCCTGGGGCTGAAGACTTCATCACTCACCTTCAAGCTCACAGTGAACTTTGCAAAAGCAAGGCTGCTCAAGAAACTCCTGGCGAAAGTGGGCGCCTCGTGAGATGCATAATCCTGTAGGAAAGCATAGATCCCTGCTTCAGTGACAGGGAAAGGAATGACCTGGCAACTTCGGCAGTGCTTGATGTACCTGGCAAGAGGCCCAGCACGACCCGAGATCGTGACGCTCGCCTTCTGAGAAAACACATCTTGCAAGGAAGACTTCAAGTCAGAGTCTCGCCCGTTCTCCTTATCTAGCCGAATCGACAGAGAAAGACCGAAATCGTCAGGGAACCTTTCAAGAATCCCTAGCCACTTTGCCAAAGCTGCTTCCCTCGCCTCAGAGAGTTTCTGATCCCAGCTTTGTCCCGGCACACTCGGAATCTTCACTCCTGCAAGCCTGAGTGACTCAAGCTTTCCCGAAGACGACTTCACCGGCCCTGCAGGACCGGCCGGCCCTACTGGCCCTGACACAATGCATCCCCCTTTGGCGAAAGGCGAGGGCAAGGCAGGCATGTCAAGAAATGTAGAAGCTATTTCCCAAGGCATCCTAACTGTGCTTCCAAGCCCTCGGGATGCAACACGCGTAGACGACACATGGTGACCCTCATAAGCCCCATGCACGCGAGCCTTCTTGAGGCTACTTTCAAGAGAGTCGTCCCCTGACATGCTGGCTGCAAACTCGGCCTTGTCAGGCCAGCATGGCACACGCTACACCCCACTACAAAAATTTCCGGCCCTTTGGCCAGGGAGTAGCTACCCACCCATCCCACCCCTGTCTCGAGGCGGCGCGGGAAATTAAAGATATTAACTCGGACGATTCAAAGCATGCTTTCATGCCATGATATGTGGTTCGAAAATAAAGCAAAGTCGTTTTGAAAACTTCGCAAGAATTTCAAAACTCTCCTAGGAAAATAAAGCTGATAGAGGCAAGCCTCATGTGTCGCTTATGCATGTAAGCAGATGATCCTTCCCACAGGGTTTGCCCCCAACATCCACCGCGCAACCATGTACAAATGCACAGTCATCCAGTTCCCACACCCCGAATCGGATCCAATTTCTAGATACGCTTTCGGTGTGTCCCATGTGGAAACGCTGCCTTGTTTCTAGATCCGCTACCATTTTGTGCACAAAAGGCAAAAGCCACAACTTGAGCAAAAACAAGCATTGCTGATAAAAGTGACCGCATGACCGGTTTTGTGCGGAACGAAGCGGCAAAAGCGAACGACCATTGTCATTGTTGCATATTTTGCTTGTTTAACACAACAATAATCGCACATAAGCTCTGATGCTCATGATGTTTGAGCCAAAATGTCCTTCCTCTTCTCTTTCTTCTATATATATAGTATATTTGTCGCATAAAGTGCAAGAATTTGTTTCCTGTTCGCTAGGGTTTGGGCAGATTTGGGGTTCTAGTTTTCAGGTGCTCCGTTTGCTTCGGATTTGGGGCATATACAGGCATTCTGGTGGAAACCGAAGACTTCCAACAATAAGAATCGAGAATTATGTCGACAGCTGGAAAATACCGCCGAGAATCTGAAATCCGAAGTCTCAAGACGAAAGTGCCGACACTAAGGCCTGATAAGCCTAAAGTTTGTGTCACACTGTCCGTTTGAAGGGTTCTGACGACGTGAAGTTGAAACTATGTCGCATTTAGCGGGGTTTGGGCGTTTGGGGGGCTTGAGGCGGTTCAAGGCTAGGGGCTTTGAGCTGTGTCCAAAGTTTCGGAAGCACCCGAAGCCGAAACCAAAGTGCCCCAAAAAACCTGAGCCCAAACCCTTCTGATCTCTTTCCATCCTTCGACGTTCGGACCCACGGCTGCGACTTCGGCGCTTCGGGCCGTGGCAGTGCGAAGCAACGGTTGGGCTGGAAGGTTTTGTGGAGTTTACGGCTGAGGGCTCTGGGCTGTGGGTTTGCTGCTTCCTGCACTCACGACAGCACCGGCACTCGATCACGTATGTACAATTCGCACGGCCACCCAAGAAAGCCAAGCACTCCTGGATCAGGGCTCTCGGTTGCACCAGAAAACCACACTTACACCGACCCTAAACCCTAAACCTAAACCCTTACACCCTAAACCCTAACTTCGAAGCCAAACCCCAGCAGGGCCGGCCTTTTGTCAGCAGGAATGAGCCACGTTCGGAAAGCCTTGCCGCGGTTTGAGTTGTCTTTGCAAGTCCGTAAAACCCTAAACCCCTTCAAAAACCTAAACCCAAAACCCTGCACCCTTAACCCTAAAACCCTAAACCCAAAGTCCTAGAGTCCTAGAGACGAAGCCGCCCAAACACCAAAAGCTTCAGAAAATTAAGCGTCTTGCTGCCAAAAAAGATCGACTCAGGAAAACAAAGATCCTATCAAGAAAGCTGCTGGGTTGCATATACTTCACTAAACTGGCTCGGGCGAGGGAACGGTTTCGGCCAGCTTCCTCGAGAGGGTTCGGGATTAGAGCTAGGGCCAGGATTGTAGGGGCATTGGGTTTAAGAGTTTAGGTTTAGGCAAATCAAGCTGAAGCTGCCAGGGTGCTGCGGCGATTTCAAACCAGAAGCCAGGGTCTGAATGGGCTTATGCGAGGCTGCAACGAAAAAAAGAGTTCACAGGTCGTCATCCGCCTTAATGGCATCCATCATCTCAAGCTTTTCGTACACGGAGTAAGCCCAAGTACGACGATGCACGGACCTGCAGATACGAGCGATGTGGCCATTCAAGGATTCATCGATGTATGTGGAGTACATCCTTGGATTCCCTTTCCGGACCGCCCGTTGAAGCATGTGATACATCATATGGCTCTTGGGCATAAGATGCATTTCAGCTTTTTCGCAAAGGCAGATGAATTCATCGTACGTCTGGAAAAGCAGGCCGCAAACTGTCTCGTCGATCGCCCTCGGATGAGAAGCCATCACTGCATCGAAGTGCAGTGCCGCCTGGCCGGCTTGCAAGAGCAAAGCGAAGGTGTCGGCCTGCTCCGTCGCTGCGAGAACACATTTGTGCATCTTAAGCCTGTCAACCAAAAAGCCCAGAAGCCCATGAGTTTCGGCAGCTTTTGCCTTCACATATTTGCCGGCCACCATTGTCAGTGTCAAGTTCCAGACCTGACGGGATGATCGATAAGCAATTCCGGCGGGGTTGATGTCTTATATACACAAACTCATGATGTGCCGAACCTCGGAACCCTTCCTTTTCCAGCTGCCGTCATCGTCAAACTGGCGGAGGCGTTTGTAGTACGACCACAACTCGGCACGAAGACAAAGCAGAGCAAGCCTGTCGGCCTCCTCCTTCTCCAAATCCGGAATCGCAGGTCTGTAGATCATCGTCGTGAGGAGAAGCCGCAGGCCATATGCGATGAAGGTGGACATTGGTCCGTAATGCCAGGTGTGCAGGATGTCCACACACCACGTGTCCACCGAAACTCCTGGGATCTGCAAGAACGGCGATTGGTGAAGAACTCGCCCATCCTTTCCGCCAATGTAAAAAACACATGAGAAGGGGCAGGATTGCTTCGCGAAGTTGCCGACATCTGGCAAGCTTGAGCTCGGCTCGAGCCGCCAGCCCTGCCTCAGCCTGAGGAGTGGGAAAGAGGCC